CTCTCTCTCTCTCTCTCTCTCTCTCTCTCTCTCTCTCACACACACACACACACACACACACACAGAGGAACATCGACTGCATATCATGGTGAAATGAGAAGCTTTCGAGATGCTGAGCAGATACTGAGGGAGAGGAGAGAAATACAGCTGACGGAGGTATTGGAAGAATCATGGAGAGTCGGATATAGAACAAGAACCGTCCCGGACATAGTACCGAGTGAGCCAGACTCGGAGACAATGGAACGAGGAAGAGCAGGCAAACGGTATCGACGGACCTGCATGCAACTACGTCACAAGACAATGTAAGGAGTACTACAACGAAATGCACAGGCCATGACACAAAAGACTCCACTCGCTGCTAAAAGGCTTAATCGGAATGGACACATGTCGGACATGATTGTTTGCCCGGGATTGAGGGATAGGGGTCGATCAACGTTGAATTGAATCAGTTCACGTAGTACGGCAGCCTGTGCATGGACTCGCAGGGATTCATCGCTGACAGAGGGGGGCAAACTACCGGTAGGGAGGGGGGAGAAACACCCAGAAACACGCACCAGATGCTGTCGCTGGACTTGGCGGTTCTCCTCATGACAACGCGAGACTCCGACTGGCCGACATGGCGGCTCAGCTCGCTCTGCTCCTTGAGAGCGGTCTGGCCGGCGAATGTGCTCGGCGCAACGCCAGCAACGGCGGCGATGGCGGCCATGGTGATCGACGGCTGGTGGAGTCGACGAGCGTACTACCTCCTCTCTAGAGAAAGAGGGGGAGAGAGAATGACTCAGCCGATCGCCGGTGCCACCTGCTAGCCACAGAATGAGCTCGACGCTTCGTTGGTAATGACGAAAGGTCGTCTACTACATATAGCCCCTTCATGCATGGCGATGATGGCAGTCGTCGAACGGCCTGGCTTCTGTTCCCCTGTGCCTCAGGTGTCCCCACTTCTATTCCTGGAATAGTGTCGGCCCCACGTTTGGTCCAGGATCACCTGGGAGGTGGGTTTTGGGGCCTCTCCACACCACTCTCGAAATGGGCAAAAGACAGAAATGTGGCGGTCGCATCTGGCCATGTTCTAGCGGGAAGTTCATTCTCATTTTTCACATTTCGAGAGTGGTGGGCGATGGCCATTGTCTGGAGACGATCCAGACCACCTACCCCGGCCCTGAGCTGCCCTTGGACTCCAGAGCCTCTACGGTTTGGCTGTCTCTCCTGTTGGACGCCAGGATTCACGAAGATCAAAAAGAGAAGGCACAATCTGGTGCCGACGGCCTCACGCCGCGGGATGGCAGGACTCCACGTGCGTCTGATGAATAATGAGCCGGGACCCCATCACAGATGAGGTCTGGCTGGGGATAAAACGCCCCAATTTCTGAAACCCCTCTCGTATGTCTGTAAACTCGGTTCGTTTGCTGGAACAGCGAAATTTCTAGCATGCCTCCTGAGATTTCCCCTTCCGATTGTAGTTGGGCCTTGGCAACGCCCCGAGCAAATTAGCGGCATGCCGGGGGCCAACTCCCACTAGGGGAGGTTTTGCTCTGGGGTTCGGGACCTCTCTTGTTTGTGACATCTTTTCGCACCGCGGATGTGGAGGGATCCTAGGGTGTATACGCAGGTTGCAAGTGGCTTGTGGCTCAGTGGTTAGGGCACCAGTTGTCAATGCGCATTGTGGTCTGAGGGTGTGGGTTCAAAACTCCATACCTTCATGCAGAGACCCCTTTGGGCTGACGCAGGTAAGCTATTACAGACACTGCTTGCGCGCCACCCACGGGTTGTCCACGGTGTTGTATGTTGGGTCCTGATGCTTGTGGTTGTTCTGTTGATCTCCTCACTCTGGCACATCCGTTGATCTCCTGAGTCTGGCATATCAAACATAGGCCCCATTTGCTCCCCATTTGCTATTGTTGCTAGTCTTCGAGTCACATGTCATAGATCATGGGTTCAAGTCTGGCTTGGTGGGGGGGTTCTTGTCCAGCTTGGCCTATCATCTCTTCAAGAACACATCGTTCCCTCTACGTAGTACTCCACATATCTGCATCTCTTCAAGAACACATAGTTCCCTCTACATAGTACTCCACATATCTGGCCTTCCGGCACATACATCCTGCTATACAGCTACACAGAGTATACACAGCCTCCGGGCATGCACAAAAAACATGGCTTGTGAACATACACACAGCCTACGGGCTCATACATACATAGCCTCTGGGCACACATATACATACCACTATCAAACCTCACGCCCTGTCCTGTCTTCCGGTCGGAGTTGTGTGTTGTGCGGAAAAGGCCCTGAAAGACGGCAAAATGGGGTGTGCCAAAGATTTTTGGGAAATTGAGTGTGGGGGCTTAGATGGAACTGAAGTCCCCCGCGTGGTTCCGGGTTTAGTAAGAACAGGTCACCGGCGGGCGGGAAGGGAATAGGCGTTCGCTATTTTCAAGCATCCATTGATCACTCGTTACAGAGCTCAGAGTCCGATGTGGAGGGCCTCAGCCTGGTCTCTCGTTCCTTGTGTTCGTCTTCGCCACGTGCCCAGTAGTGGAACCCCTCTTTTCGGACCAAATCCGGTAAGTTAAATGCTCTATGCAGCGACAATCGCTGCACAGGGTGTTGGGCCAATGGGGTGCCACTGCCATCCACAGGATGACAATCAACTCATTAAAAATCAACAGTGTCCGTGTATCATCTCAAACCATCAAAAGTTGTTCTGCTCCCTCGATCAATCTGACATCAAGCGTATCGCAAACAAGAAAGTATCTCGGAACGGTAAGATCGCACCGGTCGCGGCCCATCTGTCCACAAGAGAAAACACATCAAGCATTGATCAGCTCGTATAGTCGATGCTATCCGTGAAATCTTCGGTAGAAAAAAAACATCTCTTATAAACCTTTGAAATCTGTTATGATTGTGAGTTTGGCGATAATGATGGATATAAGCGAACGGACCGTGTCGCTCACACTACGTATCTCGCGACAACAACATGATGAGCGTTTGCCCTTACCTCTTATGGCGCAAGTCTCCCTCGATGGAAACGCATGCAAGCGCCTCGTACAAAACTAGTGTTGTATTAGGTCGGGCTTCTGTTGATGTCATCTTTTTTGACCGAGTATGACTCCTAACGCGACCACCTGAAAAAATCTATTAATTCATCTCTTCTCTTGTATAAGAGTGTGGGGAGACCAACGCTGACCCCTAACCATCGCACACCCCACTTTCTAGGAAGTGGTCTGGAGTACTCTTTCTCCTCACCTGAGACGAAGGTTTGGATCCCAGAAGTCAGGTCGCCTCCATTGAATCAACAATGTACCTCCTTGGTAAACGGTCCATTCCGGGTCGTAAGCAGGGCCGACTCCTAAAGCAACGAACCCCCGCCCCAGATTCCTCCTAGAATGGGAAAGCCCTCAGATTTAGAGTCGGGTTGAACGCCCCAACCCCCTACGCAGAAAAACAACTTAGATGAAACAAAAGTTCAGAGGGAGAGAAGAATCGAGACATGTTTGGACGGGATCAGATCGAGAGGGTCTTCAGGATAGAAAAATGGTACCTCAGGGTCATACTAAGTTCATTCAATCCTTTTCTTCCTTCTCGTTGCCGTGACATTGTTTAGTCATTTTCGTCCTCCTTGTTGTCGTGGTATCGTTCAATCCTTTTGTTCCTTCTCGTTGTCGTGGTACCTTTTCCGACGCCCATTAAGTTTCTGTCAAAAAGTCAGATCGTTTACTTGACAAGTAGGTACGTGGTACCTTTTCCGGCGCCCATTAGGTTTTTGTCAAAAAGTCAGATCGTTTACTTGACAACTTTCACATCACCACATCCAACAAGACTCCAGCTCACTTTCCGCATACTCCCCTTTTACCTACCTACATGTCAAGCACACAAAACATTCAAAAGGTTCAACCAGAAAACCACACTCAAGTCAGACCCAACTTTCCATGCAAGAGGGTCCCCAAGAAATCCTTTTCCCATTTGATTTTTCCCTGACCACAAAAAAAAGGAGGGTCAAACATCATGTGGGCGCACTCAAGGTGTGAGGAGGATCCGAACCAACCACTGACCTTGAGTGACGAGGCATCGAAGTGTCACGCAGACCAATAGACGCCACCAAGCGAAGAAATCCCAATCCCAAATCCAACTCTCAGGCTAATAAAATAGCCTCAATCTAATTCCCGCTCACGTGCCTCTCACGCGGCACACTCAAAAGCACACGCGATAAGATGCATACGCTCCAACAAGAAATATTGATCCCACTTAAGTCCCAACTGGTTCCAGATGGTCCCAAGTGGTCCCGCTTTGTTTCTTTGAATATTGGACAACGTTTCCCGCAATAACCGCTTTTGTGATGCCCCCCCCCCCCATAAAAAATACACGAGAACCCCCTTTGTCGGCACCACCAGTCTTGCTTATGTGCTCCCGCTGGTTCCAAAGGTCCCACTAGATCAACATCAATAGCCCCACTGCCACGGACGCACATTAAAAAAAAAACGTCGCGTCGTTCACTCCTGAGAAGTCTGGTCCGACACGCAGCCCAACGCTAATACCTCCACTCCACCTCACAAAATTCACCTGCATAAAAATTGAAAAAATAAATAAAATTTATGGACCTCGCCGCTCGCTATGCCACCATAACAGTCCCACTGCATTCCACCCTTGAGATGACTTTGACGGCGAGCCCCACGACACATAAAAAAAAACAAAACCTCCCCTTCACTTAGTGTCACCTGACAAGCCACAATTTTTTCATAACGCTACAAAACTATGATTGTCGATGCAGAAAAAAATTGGCAGCATACCCCCTCAAAGTGGGAAAAAGAGTTTGTCGTAGTCCAGCCTGCCAGCACCTATACCAACGTAGCCTTGATGTCCGCCGTTGCCGCTCAGATCTCATTGTTACGTTAGTAAATTTTGGTCTTCATTAAAATCATGATCCAAAATATCACTCCCGCCACGCTGCCTCGGTCCCGCAGAGTCCCAAGGGCCGTCCCACCGGGCCAACACTAACCAGAGGATAAAACAGGGTGCTCTCTACCTCAATTATGGTTGTCCTCCTCCTCCTTTAGTGCTCCATTGCAGATCTTCAACCTCCTCCCACATTACCTCTGTCAACCTTTATACCAGCCTAACAACACTCCAGTATGTTGTCACACAAAAGTAGCATGGGTGCTTTTGTGTGGCAATTGGGGACAACAACCTTTTTTGTAGTGGTCGAGGACTGTTGGCCGTCACTCTAGCCCCCAGAAAAAATCGCGGGCTCACAATAAGCCCTTAATCTGCCCAAGATCAAAGGCCAACTGTGACCGCACGACAACCACAACCTTAATAGGATAATTTTTTTTAACTGCCCTATTTTTCATTTTTATTTTCTTTACCTAAGCTATCTCAAAATTTCACGAGACAACTGAGTTTTTGCTATTTCCAATTTTTTTTTTTTTCTTTTTTTCTTTTTTTTTAATAAGGGGTCGAAGAGATACAACCCCTTTCAGTTTAACGTATACTCGGCGTTTTTCCTATGTCAAATACGTCCAGGGAAAGATTGTACTTAGTCTTTTCTTTTCTGTGACCTTCAATTTTCAGGCTCCCTTTAAAACGGAAGCCTGCCAGAGACTAAACCTCGTGAGGACAAGCTCGCTCAAGACAGTGCAAAAAAAAAAAAAAAAAAAAAAAAAAAAAAAAAAAAAAAAAAA